TAAATAACTCGGTGAAAAAATATCGTACAACGCTCAACAAAAAAGCAAATTAAAGGTAAAGATTCACTCTTTCGAAAGCTGTAAACTCCATTTGCATGCGATTTTTAATTCGCGCCATGGAACTTGTCAAAGTTCGTAAAAAATTTTGAGATTCGTCGGATCTCCTTTTCTATCCATGTAATTCCATAAAAGATTAGTAGGAACGTTTTCTAAACGTTACCTACCTATTTAGAAAGTAGAGATTTCAAGCTGTAAAATGCTATTTTGATCATCTTGATACGATCATTTTTGACGAAGTTACACTCTCTTGAATTTTGCCTATTTTTGGAGGGTAGAGTAAGTGATGCTTTAATTTTGTTAAGAAGTGTATAATTATTGTTTGGATAATTTTTTTATAAAAATGTAAAAAACATTAAAAAAAATGTTTGCATACATTTAGTATTAGACCCTAATCACTTCTTAATCCAATACAGTTTTACATTATGTTGTACTTATTATTTGTATTTATTGTTATTTGGATTATCAATCATGTTATTTTGTATGTTAACATTTATAAAAAAATAGATATTTATCTTTTTTATAACTTTTTAATTGATCTGATCTATCATGGATATGTACTCATTAACATCAAGTAATCATGGATCATCACAAAGTGTCTGCAGTTCCCGATCACAGAAGTTAAGCAGCGTTGAGGGCAGTAGTGGTTTGGATGAGTGACCGTTAGATTTGAATATTAATTTCAGAGAAATAATCCCCTTGCAAACACCGTAAATTGTTTTTTTTAATGTTTTATAATGGTTTTTATTGTAATTTTATAAACGTTTGTTTAATCGTTATTTTTTATTTTTTATATCCTATGGACACGTCAGTAATTTTGTTATACCACAAGATGTCCTTGGGACATTCCTGGATGAAAATAGGACCTCCTGAGGATGTCCTCAGTACCCGTCCTGGACGTCCTGTGGACGTCTTCAGGACTTCCTGAGGACACGATGAGGCGCTCATTTGCTATACCACCGCCGTTCTCAGGACGTCCCTGGATGAAAATAGGACATCCTGAGAACGTCCTCAAATCCCGTCCTGGACGCCTTGGGGACGTCCTTAGGACGTCCTTGTGCTGTTTGGGACATCTTTATGTCGCGATAATGTTGTGAGGACAAAGCATCTAGATACTTACCACAACATATTAACGTTGTCACATCTCCATGCAGCGGTAATACTATTGTTACGCCCGGGGCGGTGAATATCGCGTTCACGCACTCGCTCGCGTAACGTTCGCGCTTCCGCACTCGCGCTCGCGCACGCGCACCGGAAGACCGCGGGGAAATAAAAAGGAACACCAAATTAAGAACACAAGGAACACTCTCTTTATTATAACTAAGAACAGAGAACGTGGCGAATAAACAGAGCAGAGCAAGACACGTCCGCACGGCACGACGGCTTGTCTCAAAATCTAATATGTCGTCCGTTTGACAGACGACAACGCGTCGTCAGGGAAACATCCGACAGCTGGACCGGTTCGCTGGTACATCGAACGACGCGGGCGTAGACACGGGCGTAACACTATGATAACACATATGTATAACCAGACGCGGGGTCGCGAAAGGGATATCCATTGAGTTTAATTTTCGATAAAATTAAATATAGAATAAAGAGTCTAATTTCCACTAAACTGAACGATGGTTACACTGTTAAAACGAGTGAGGATGATAGGAGGGTCATGGCTTTCCCTTACATTAAAAATGCGTCAGAAATTGTTGCCTCAGCTACAAATAAGAAGGAGTTTTTAGTTGGGTTCGGATGTCTCAATAAGCTGTATAAACTTATAAAGAGACATAAAGACAAGATCTCTACTGATTCTGGTAATAATGCAGTGTATAGAATTAATTGTAACGATTGCGACGCCACATATGTGGGACAGACTAAGAGGAAGTTGAAAACGAGAATATTGGAACATAGGAGAAATATTCTTTTGGACGATTCGAAGCACTCGGTAGTTACGAATCACATATTAGAATCGAGTCATACGTTAGATTGGGAACATGCGACAATTCTCGATTCAGAACCTAATTATCACAAACGTTTTGTTTCCGAAATGATTTATATCGAAGCGCAAAAAAATAGTCTTAATTCTAACAAGGATACCGAGATGCTAGATGAGTCATATTTTAGTTTGTTGGACAGAATTGTAGAGGAATTTTAATGTTTGTCTCCACGACATTTACATCATATAAACAATCCATCGATTTGACCTACAATATCTGTACATTTGACGCTCTTTTTTTAGTCCGCAATAGATCCTCGGAAACATAACATCTTGTGGAAAGCTTATATTGTACACCGTTACCGTAAGTGTTAAAAAATCGCAGTCTCAATTATCGTGAATTTATGTAACGCGTATCAATTGTGTTCGATCCTCATAGAATCAGCTGGTGAAGCATCGTTGATATGATGAAGAGACATATTAAATATCTTATACGGAATTACATTTGGCTGGAAGAAGAGGACAATAAGATCTGTTCGACATTTATCTAAATTTCCGTATGCGTGGATTCGTTTTAATTTGTAATATCATATAATAGCGATTGAGAAAGGCTAAGTAAGCCGAAACTAGTCTCGCGTTTTTTAATTTTAATTTTGTTTAAATGACTTATTAAAAAATTTTATTAATTGACACCCTTTGTTTTATGCTCGTCTTTGGCCTATTGTCCTGTCTTTTTTATTGTTTATATATAACGAACTGGTAATTTATTTATAAAAATCATAGTTGACGGTTTCATATACATACAAGTATGATTCAGCATCAATTTTACAATATTTTCATTACGTATTTTTATGAGATCTACAACCAGGTCTTGAATTCGTAGTGAGAACGAAACGCTTGATTGCAGAAATTGTTCAATGTCCATACGTCTCTCGATGAACATCCTCCACATTCCATACGGCAGGATAATATGATTGCCTCGGTTGTCACCAATAAGTATTTCCACATGAGATATAGATCCGACGCTGATTCCAATATCCAGATATTTAAAATTGGTGAATGTTAGAGCGAATCTTCTTTCCAATATACGCGTCTTCGAAATATGAAACGCAATTCTGTAAAAGAATTAAAGCATAGAAAAACATAAATTAAGCATGGAAAAAAGGATAAATAATTTATTGAAACTTACGGTCTCTCGATCACCTCATCCTTCAGCGAAACGTAGAAATTCATTATTGTTGAAAGACGATAGGCCAATCTAGCACCATTCTGTCAAACGTTCTTTCGAATACAGATTTCAAAGTAAGACAATCTCGCGATCCCGCAGTTGTATATCTAAGCACAATTTCACATCTATAAATGCCCAGCTTTGTCCATCGTGGCGATTGAACGAAACTCTTATACCCCTGGCGATAAATACATCAGGATCCTTGTCTGATTGGTGGAAAAGGACGAATTCCACCATACCTCGAAACGTGATTTA